TTCATGGGTTGGGGAGATGGCGCAGTGAACGCAAGCACTAACTGCATGAGCAGGAACCCCTGAAGTAACCCTAGTGCCATGGCAGGCAGAGATAAGCTGAACCCACTGGTGTTCACTGACCTACCGGGTTAGCAAAATCAACACGGTTCAGCTTCAGTGAGAGACTCTATCTCAAAGTGTTAAGTCTGGGAGTGATGGAGTAGGAAACCTGATGTCCTGATGTCTTCTTCTAACTTGTGCATGCAGGTGCATGGACACATACACAGTTCTCTCTCTCTCTCTCTCTCTCTCTCTCTCTCTCTCTCTCTCTCTCTCTCTCTCTCACTCTCACTCTCACTCTCACTCTCACTCTCACTCTCACTCTCACGCACACGCACACGCACACAGGGCAGGGGAGAGTTTTTGTATGTGCTAGAGCTACAGGGGCTCAGAGGGCCTTGGAGCTGCTGAATGTACCGTACTTTGGTTGCAGCTGGTCCCATGAAGCCAAGTGAATGACATAACTCAGGGAGTCATGTCAGTGCTCAAAACATTTTGGATTTGGGTGTTCTGTATTTCATATTTTCATGTATTCTTACAGATTTTCAATGTGCCTAGAAGATCCTACTTTGTGCCTGTGTTTTAAATTTTCAGTTAAGGGTTTATGTTGGGTCTCTTTCCATCATACCAAAAAAAAGTACTTTTTTTACAACTATACAGTCTTCTATCATGTTGACCTGATAAAGTCTATTAAACCAGAAATAGTTAAATATTTAGATAGCCATCAACTCTGGCAAGCCACCGTTGGTTCGTGTTACTCATCTGTCACTTTGGGCCTGGGCAAGCCTAGCTGCTGGATAAGTACTTGTGAAACCTGCAAGCTATCTCCCTTCTGTCACGTCATTCCACAAGCTTGTCGGGCCTTTCCTGTGAGCATGGTGGCCCTCATTGTCCACAGGAAGGATGACGGAGTGTTTTAATGACAGGAAAGCTAGATACTAACACTTCACACTGTGACAGCAGACAGAGAATTCAACTCTCTGGGGGAAATAGGGACTGAGTTCCTTCCCAGAAAAATCATACAGTGGGAAGACCTTGCCTTGAAATAAGGGTAAAAAACCCAACCCTCGTTGGACCTGTAATCCAGCACTTGGGAAGAAGGAACTACATAGTGAGTTTGAAGTTAGCTGGGGTACTTGAAATAACAACACAGGGAGGGAAGAGAAGGAGGGGGAGAGGGAGGGATGGAGGGATGGAGGGAGGGAGGGAGGGAGGGAGGGAGGGAGGGAGGGAGGGAAAAAGTAACCCCTGGACAAGTTGGGAATCATGAATGAACTGGGAATATAGTACAACTTCTTAGTACTTAACCATTGCAGGACCTGCCAGTGAAAGCTCTAGACACCTGTCATTCAGTCCACAGAATGTTCCAGAAGCATCTTCTGTTTGCACAGGCCACTGGAGGGGACCATGTACATCCAAACTCCTTCATTAAACTGAAGTGAACCATTTTCTCATACTCAGCCTCTCTGTCTTCCTAGACTTCCCAGTGCTCAGAGCTTCTCAGGTTTGGGGGTTGGGGGAGGCTCCTATTAATACTAACCGTTGGGACATCCTCAGTTTTCTATCTTTGAGATTATAGAATAAAGCCCCAGTGTTAAAAATCATCTGCCTCAAGTATGCACCCTGGGAAAAGGGAAGCCTCACATGTCCCCATCTGCAGTTCCACCTGCCACATTTGAATCTTAGTGACAATTCGAATAGCCCTGAGCACCCACACTCCTCCTAGGTCCTTTAGCTCCAGAGCTCTCTTCTGCTACCACCTGGACCTGGAAGTTTGTCTACACCTACCTGGAGCTCTGTAATCACATCTCATTCAGTTCATTGCCTTAAAGACACTTGGAGATCTCTCACTAGGACCTAGAAGTTGCTAATTCAGCCTGCTGGCTAGCCCCAAAGCCCCAGGGATCTACCTGTTCTGTCACCACAGGGCTGGGATTACAAACTTGTGCCACCAGCTTTATACGTTGGTGCTGAAAAACAAATCCAAGTCCATGGGGTTGGAGAGATGACTCAGAGGTTAGGAGCACTTGTTGCTCTTGCAGAAAACCCAAGTTCAGTTCCTGGCATCCATAGGATGGTTCACAACCATCTGTAACTCCAAAGAGGCCTCCATGGGCACTGCACATACATGGTACACATACATACATGGAGGCAAAACACTTAAACACATCTTTTAAATATATATTATGTATTTCTATTTATATATATTAAATATAGATATATATACATATATATGTATACTTAGGTATATATATTTTTTTATATGTTTGAGCACCAAGCACTTTTATCAACTGAGCTATCTCCCAGTGACCTCAATTTTTGGCAGATGTAATGTAACGGGTTCTAGCTTAGGTATAGGTCCAAACTAAGGACAGACACAGACACCATAGCAGATGATTGATAAGCCAAATAAAGGAAATTCGTCACATGGCTTAACTCACAGGGTTCCTGCTCGCTCACTGAGTTGTAGTACCCCAACATATCTCCATGTGTTTATTTTCTTGTCTTTTTTTCTTTTGGTTTTTGGTTTCTGTTCAAGACAAGGTTTCTCTATGTAACAGTCCTGGCTGTCCTGGAACTCACTTTGTAGACCAGGCTGGTCTCGAACTCACTGAGATCCGCCTGCCTCTGCCTCCCAAGTGGCATAGGCATCCAGACATTTTCTGAGTGTCTGTGTGAGCCAGACTGTTTAGTACAAATGAGAGTACATTAGGTAACCGAACTGTAGTGGCCTCCCTTCTTCAGCCTTAGAGTCGTGAGGAGAAGGATTTGACGTGAGGGTAGGTGGCATCAAAATTGTCACCTGGTTCCTAATCATTACTACTAAGATAAGAGATGGTAAAGCAAAGGAACCAGGGACTGGGAATCGTCATCTGGATTCGATCATGAAAACAGTGTTGAGAAGAAGAAGGGCTGAATAGAGAAATTGGAGCTGTTTGAGCAGGAGAGATGAAGGGTGACGCTCTGGCAAAAGTGAGATGATAGAGAAAGGAACTAGCTCCGTGGAGGGTTAGAACTGATGGCAAAACCCAAAAGCTGTATCCATAAACCATATCCCAGAACTTGCTCTGCTGCAGGACCGGAAAGGAGGACCTAGAGAGAGACCTGAGGAATTGGGTCACAAGTGGTAGCATAGAGGCTCTGTTGGTCGGCAGGGTAGCCCAGGAGGAGTACCAAGGAAGGACTGTGTCTCTGGCCCCTTCCCTTGTGTCCAGTCAGAATGAGAGGAGAGCAGGGCCAATGAGGAAGTGTGAGCAAGGAGTGTCAGCAGCTGGAGAGGTTTGCCTGGAATCTCTGGTTATGCCATACGCTCTTCTCTTGGTAGAGGGTGGGGTGGCATGGTGAGCTTCACCTGGAGACAAGTCCTGCTTCCTAATAAAAGCGAGGGTGGAGGGCAGGCAAGTGGTCTACCTATGTATTCTGAAACTGCCTTCTAGGTCTCATCTAGTACTGGGCAGCATTATGCAAGGACATGCTCAGTAAAGTGTATAGAACACACAGTCTTGTCCCAGGATGCTCCTGACTGACAGTTCCCATATCCTCTGTAGGGCAGGTTTAGGTCAGAGCTCAGAGGGTCCGTGGGGGGAGAAGGGGAGCTGCTCAGCTGGAGGAGGGCTAGTAAAGGGTGGTGTCTCTGTTAGATGTGGGAAAGCTAGGTAAAGTCTCCAGGTATAGGACAAAGAGTAGGGGGCGTCAGGCCCCAACACCTGGGAATTGCCATAAACACCCAGATATGTAATATAACAGCACCATTTATACAGATGCCTGCCCTGGGTACACCATTTAGAAGATGTACAGCCAGCAGGTCCCATCTGCCCTACACAGCCCTAGTGGGGGCGAACATTAGAGGGTTTGGGACACCCCTGAAGCTGTCTCATATTGGACAAGATCCGCCATATCTGTAATATAGCCTGTAGCTAAAGAAAGGGAGAGCAGGAAGAGGAGAGGAAGGGAGAAGGGCAGAAGAGGAGAGCCATAGGCTTTAGTTTGCTTGACCCGTCAGGAGTGTTTACCTGCTGGGCATGCGCTCAGAAAGCCAGTCAGCTCTGGAAAGGAAAGCAATGAATCATTTATGATTGTTTTCACTTTGTATTCATTAAAGGCCTCCGCACTATTATTATCGAACCTTAATTGGCTTGGCACTCCGAACAGCCTCCTCCAGCCCCTGCTCCTCCCTCTGCGATCAGAAATTCCTGGAGCGAGCGAGCAAGCTTGCAGGAGAGTATGAGAGCAAGCCTTACTTAGGAACAGGGGCGGCTGATCCAGGGCCCCTCGGAAGATCAAATGGAACGTGGTCGCTTTTCTTTCTCCTCTCTGATCATATATTAATAAATGTATCCCATCAGGCCCTCGCTCTGTTCCCTGTGAGCTGCTGTCAGCTGCCTGGAATCTCTCGGCTCCCTTTGCTTCCTCAGCCACTGGGCAAGTTTTCCATCAGCTTCCTCCCATCAGGGTCTCCCAGGCACAATGGCTTCACGCATGACAGCGTGCATCCTTTGTTCTGAGTGCCATGCCAAGCACTGAACCAGCAACAATATGTGGGTTACCTGATTTACTTCTTTTAATACACTTCGGTGTAATTATAACGGCATAAAGGGAAGACAAATTGGCAAGTAATTACGATGTTAATTTGGCAATGTTTTATCATATTGTAGAAGCACAATTTCCTCTCTAATTGTATTGGGGGGGACACATTTATCTACAGCACAGCTTATTGAAGGTTTCTTAAGAGTGGAAGTGAAATACACAGGAGACGGGAAATCCAGCTCTCCTCCCCATAAATATTACTTTATTTGCATGTATTTTTGCAGCTTCCTTAAAAAGCTAACTCGTTTATTCAGGCCCAATTAATGGCATGCCATAGAATGTATAATTAGGCTGTGACAGCTTAGTTGATGGATTGCCTTGCATGTGGAAACCAGAGACACCCCCGGTTTAAACGGCTGAACCTTCCCTTTCAGAACCTCACAGGCTGTGCATGCCTCACCACCGTCCCCCCTGAGAATGCCACCGTGGTTCCAGGAAAATGTCCCAGTCCTGGGTGCCAAGAGGCCTTCCTAACCTTCCTCTGTGTGATGTGTGTGTGCAGCCTGATCGGGGCCATGGCCCAAACGCCCTCTGTCATCATCCTCATCAGGTAAGCTGCCTGCCCACTGAGCCCCAAGTACTTGGGAGTCAGCCTGGTCTATGCCCTTCCCCCTGGCACACATGTGCAGGGCTCCTGCGCGTCAGAGCCATGTGAGTCTTGAAAGCAAGGTGAGCTGGAGTGGCAGCCAGGAACACAGCTGCTCTAGGCTAAGAGGAATCAATTAGGAGCTGTCCATCAGTCGGGACTTCACAGCACAACAAGGCAGACGTGGAAGGCCACTTTCAAAGCCTCCCAGGAATAACCTGTGAGTCCAAGGCCTGCCTCGTTAGATGCCCAAGTAAGGCAGTTCAAGGCAAACTTGAAAAGCATTCTCCACTGATCTTTTTCAGGAGGCATTGTTGGTGAGGTATAATGAAAACCATGGGCTGGGGAGAGGGCTCAGTGGACAATGGTACCTTCCTCACAAGCATGGGCCCAAGTTCATTCCCTAGAACCCCTATAAACCTGGATGTAGTAGAGCTTGCCCATAATGCCCATGATAGTGAGAGGGGAGGTGGAAACTGGCGGATCCCTGGAAACCTGCAGGACAGTTAGTCTAGCCTACCCAGAGAAGTTTGAGGCCAGCGAGAGACCCTGCCTCAAAACTAAAGGTGGAAAGCTCCTGTGGAACAACATTCCAGCTTGTCCTCTGACCTCCACACACATGCACATACACACCCATAGGGACACACACACACACACACACACACACACACAGAGAGAGAGAGAGATATTTGAAAGTGGCATTAGACTAGCCAAATCCTTCTGTCAATCAGCCATATGTCTTGGACACAACATGGTCCCCCAGACTCATTTCTGAATCTCTTACAGAGATAACAGCACTAATCCTGACTGCCTTCTTGCCATGATCGGGACCATTCCAGGTCATGTGTGCAAACCACTCTAGAGGCATGAGAGGTTAGATGGTGATTGCACTTACATGAGTAAGTGGTTGCAGTGAGACACCCAGAATTCTGTAGCCACCAATCTCTGGGAAGCCTGCCTGGAGGCAGATGAAGTGCCTCCAAGGAAAATCAGTGAGCAATATTCTGAGCAAGTTTCATCATTCACAGTACTACTGCTATCTTGATTTGAACAAGGTACCTAGAAGAACACTGACCCATACCCTAGTGTCCATCCGAGCCCGAAGAAAGAACACATCCCACAGAAAGGCTCACCTCATTAGATGCAAAAGCAAGGCAGTTCAAGGCCAAGGCCTGGGGATGGAAACGAGGTGCTTGGAACCACTTTGATTCCTTGCAGAATACCAACTGCTTTACCCTAACTTTCCTGTTCCTTGAGCCCTCCCTACCGTGTTTTCTGGTCTTTGCTAGCAACTCTCCTGAAAGGAGATTTATAGGAAACACTTGTGCTACCCAGATGGTCATTAGCAATGTTTTATGAATGTGTGGAGGCATTAAGGGTACAATAGCAAATTGCCATCTTATACCTAGGAAGTTCGACAAATTAAGACCCAGTGCTGTGGAGGGCTGTGGTCAAACAAGTCGAAACACTTTTTGCTACTGGCGTGGAAAAGCCTATCAGTTCTTTCAAAAATGCAATATGCCTGTGTAAGTCAAGAGCCATAAAAATATGCAGGCCCTTACAGTAACCTATCCCCATTCCTGGCCGTCTATCTCAAGGAAATACCTCTCTACAAGAAAAAAGCTCAATACAGAAAGATTTTTTATTACAACGTTAACTATAATGGCAGAAACACCTGAACTGAAGTAGTGAGTTAAATTATGGAACTGCAGTTCAAGGAATAATGAAAAATCTTAAGAATGTGAGAAGTGTTTATGAAATGAGCCATTGAATTTAAAACTATAAGTGGAAGGTGATTATATGTAATATGCATATGAGCAAAATCCATCAGGTTTCACATATGGGTTTATGGTGGCTGTATCATAAGCAGTTTATTTTTCAAGAGAAATTTTCCAGAGACTGTGTTGCAATAGTCACACACAGAAGGCTCCAGAATGTCGAAGAGGGACCCTGGCCACCATTAGTAGTGGCTGGTCTACTTCTTCCCCTCCATGAGTTCCCACTAAGGCCCAGCCTCTAGAGTCTAGGTGGTAAAATTTTGGCTGTGGAAATTTCGGCTGTTTCCAAGCATCAACTTGATAAGCAGGTCTTGTCATTTTTCAGGAAATACTGGATTCTCTTTAAATGAAACAAGAGCTCATGGTCTCAGTGGCCTGTGCTGAACACATATATCCATGAACCACGCGTTAGCTATAGGCACATGTTCACGTTCATATGGAGAAGGGGTCATACTGCATCGTTGCATCCCTTTCCCAGTCTAGCTTGCCATCACAGAAATTCTAGGCAGGAATGAGGATACCCCATGCAGGCTGACCACAGAAGATAATCACCAGCCCTATAATGGCAGAAACACCTGAACTGAAGTAGTGAGTTAAATTATGGAACTGCAGTTCAAGGAATAATGAAAAATCTTAAGAATGTGAGAAGTGTTTATGAAATGAGCCATTGAATTTAAAACTATAAGTGGAAGGTGATTATATGTAATATGCATATGAGCAAAATCCATCAGGTTTCACATATGGGTTTATGGTGGCTGTATCATAAGCAGTTTATTTTTCAAGAGAAATTTTCCAGAGACTGTGTTGCAATAGTCACACACAGAAGGCTCCAGAATGTCGAAGAGGGACCCTGGCCACCATTAGTAGTGGCTGGTCTACTTCTTCCCCTCCATGAGTTCCCACTAAGGCCCAGCCTCTAGAGTCTAGGTGGTAAAATTTTGGCTGTGGAAATTTCGGCTGTTTCCAAGCATCAACTTGATAAGCAGGTCTTGTCATTTTTCAGGAAATACTGGATTCTCTTTAAATGAAACAAGAGCTCATGGTCTCAGTGGCCTGTGCTGAACACATATATCCATGAACCACGCGTTAGCTATAGGCACATGTTCACGTTCATATGGAGAAGGGGTCATACTGCATCGTTGCATCCCTTTCCCAGTCTAGCTTGCCATCACAGAAATTCTAGGCAGGAATGAGGATACCCCATGCAGGCTGACCACAGAAGATAATCACCAGCCCTAGCCTGGCCCAAATCAGTGGACTCATTCTTATGCTGGCCCACGGTTATCAACAGGGACAGTGAAGGAAGTGAGCCTGGGGAGGGGGGCCTCACTTGGTAAAGTGCTGACTTCAGAAGCATGGAAACCCCAATTTGACTCCCAGAACCCATGTAAAAATGTCAGGCATGGTAAGGCATACTTGTAATCTCAACAGTGGAGACATGGAGACAGAAGGATCCCTGGGATTCACTGGCCAGTCAGCCAAGCCTAATTGATGCACTTTCAGCACACGAGAGATCTTGTCTCTAAGGAGATGGATGGCATTCGTAAGGACGACACCTGAAGTTGTCTTCTGGCCTCTACACACACAAACATGCACGTATATGTGTGCATGTGTGCACACGCATGCATGCACACATATACACACAATATATTAAAAAGAAGAATGCTGAAAAGCACGCAGGAAAGCAGATGGTCATTTGGTCAGTTTTCAGACACATCTCTGAGCTCTTATTTTAAATTGCTGTATTTGGACCCCTGTAAAAATTCCCCCTTTCCTCATGAAGAAACTGGCCCAGCAAATGAATGCACAGTATTCTCAAGGTCTTACAGCCAGTAAGTTAATGATACTAAGCCTGCATCCCTGTTCTTCCCCGGATCTTTCGGTGACATCCTGCCTGAGCCCTCCCTCCGTTTCTTCCTAACTGTGGTTCTTATGGGAACCAGCCTCTCCACAGGATATGAAGAAAGATCTTAGCACCCTCCTCACTTTGTTCCCAGTGACATGCTAGCTGAAAGGAAATCACATTGCAAGTGATAAATAGCCTAGCTCATTACATCAGCATGTTTTCTTGATAAGGAGATCTCCCTTTATGTGTCTTTCAAGTTAAACCTTCAAATGAAAGTGCCAAAACTGTAGCCATAGAGCTGGAACAGCACGAGGGACTTGGGTTTGGTGATGTGTGTCTTCCAAAGAGCATTCGTTCTGCCCACGGATGCAGATCTCATGACCTGGAACTGGTACCTGACTTCGTCAGCCAGAGTCCTGAACCCGTTACTCAGTGGAAATCCTAGCATGCTGCCTGGGGTCACTCACCTGTACCACACTCTATAATTAAAAAGAGGTGTGCATTTCCCCAAGAATAGTACCTTATTGTTCTACTGGAAATCTTAGAATTTGGAAAAGATTATAAGAACTACTCTTTCATAGTCTTTTGCAAGCTACTATGACAAAATACCACAGACATGGTAGTTTATAAACAATAGGAATTTGTGTCTCATGTGTCTAGATACTAGGGAAGTTGAAGAGCCAGGCTAGGTTATCTGGTGAGGGCCACTGCTAGTACATAGATGGCAAATTCTCTTTGTGTCCCAAGGTGCTGAAGAGACAAAGGGATCTCTCTCAGGCATTCCCCTCCAAGGGCACTAATCCATTCATGCAGGCCCCACCCTCAGGATCTGAGCCCCTCTCAAAGGTCCCACTATCACTTTAGGATTAGGCTTGAATGCAAGAATTTGGGGACGACAAGAGTGTCCGTCTATAACATATATGCAATTTCTTTCTGTTTTATGGTCACTTTTGACCCCTTATAACAAGAAGCCAGAAGCACACACACCAAGGCTCAACCGAAGTCATAGATCACTGGATGACTGCCAATGGGTTGCTGGATAAATGACCTTGGGATCATTTAGAATATTATTCTAGGCCTGGGAACATTACTCAGTCAGTTAAGTGTCTGTCACGTAAGTACAAGGACCTGAGTTTAGATCCCCAGCACCTACATAAACACCAGGCACAATGGCCCCTGGATAAACCTAGTGCTAGGGGGCAGAGATAGGCAAGCCTGTGGAACTTGGCTTCAGTGAAAGACTCTGTCTCAAAAATAAGGTAGAGTGAAACTGAGGAAGACATCTGACATTGACTTCTGGCCTACACTCTCTCTGTCTCTCTCTGTCTCTGTTTCTCTCTCTTTCTCTCTCCTCTCTCTCTCTCTCTCTCTCTCTCTCTCTCTCTCTCTCTCTCTCTCTCTCTCTCTCTCGTCTCTCTCTCCATCCATCCATCCAGTCAATAGACAGGTTTACACATGATATATCAGATATTCCATTAGTAACCTTGTTCCTACCCTTTATTTTATACAGGACCAAATCCTCCACCCTCACTGAACTCTGTGGGTCTGGTCTCTAGTCTTCCAGCCACACTGAAATGCTCCAGCATGTGTAAGGTTCAGCCATAATGACTGGCTCCACACCTAGCCAAGTCTTTTTAGAATTGTAGTCATGTACATCTCTCTATCCCCTAAGGAGACATCGTGGTGACAGATATAAGAGGTGACACTCTGAATAACCCGAAGCCCATGTGTGTATTGTCCAATCTTTTTCCCTCAGAGTCCTTCACCACAAAACCACAGGTAGAGAGATATTCCCTGAGTAGCAAGACAGAGACATTTGCCCAGCTTGCCGCCCATTTGTGCATTCCCTCAGCACAGGCTGGGTGCTAGACACCTGGGTGATAGAGCTAGGTAAAGTTGAGATCACAAATGTAGCCACAATGCAAATAGTTCTTGGCCTTGAGGGGAGAAGACTAGCACTGAATAAATCCTAGCTGTAAGCGTAAGAGGCATTACCAGGGAGACTGCATGATCCACTGTGTGGACCCACCTATCTAAAAATCTGTCATCACTCATAAACCTGTCTCTACTGTTACTCTCGCTTTCAAAAACGTTACACTCTGGAGAACATGTGAGATCATTCTTAGGGACGATACATGGAAAACCCAGGGCAGGATGATTGAGCCACTTCAAAGCAAAGTCAGTGCCTAGTAGAAGAGTACAAGCTACTCAAACTCCATTCGCGTACCTATGTCCCAGCTGGCCCACCTGGGATGCCAATGCACATGGAGCTAGTGGATTTTACAAAATGGCCTAAGGACAGCAAGGGTGTTCATGGTTCCGGTTGCTCTTCACTAATTTGCTGAGCTAGTGTCCAACATACACAACCCCCACCCACCCATGGTGATTCTTCATTGGAACAAACGCACATTGCTCTAAGTATAGACTTCATCCAGTCCTTCTAGCTCAAGTTATTTAACGGGGAAAAAACACTTAATTTCTAAACTTATCTTGACACCACAGTTGCAGTCAATTTTTAGACTTTGGGCAAGGAAAAAAAAAAGAAGAAAACCTATTAGTAATTTTCTAAGGTAGGATCTAATGGACAGCCACAAATAGCTCTGGGTCTCTTAATTAAAATGGAGTGATAAGAATCTTTTTCTCCCTTCCATCTCTTTTTATGTAGGACAGTCAGCCCTGAGCTCAAGTCCTATGCGCTGGGAGTTCTTTTTCTCCTCCTTCGTTTGTTGGGTACGTATTGTCTCTTTTTTCTCTCCATAATGAATTGGATGTGTATTGCCAGGTGAGTGACGATTGGTGAAACTGTCCCTGCGTTTGCCTCTTTTCTTTTTCTATAATGTTTATTTATTAGTGTCCTACTTCCATTTCCTGTTGCAATGACAAAACACCCCGACACAAGCAATTTTCGAGGAGACAGGGTTTATTCTGCTTACAATTCCAGATTGAGTCCATCACTGCCAGATGTGAGGGCAGCAGGAACTTGAAGCAGCTGGTCACATCCATAGTTGAGAGCAGAGAATGCATACGTGCTTATGTTCAGCTCACACATTTTCCCATCTGTGTAAGTCAAAGACCCAAACTCCATGGAATAGTGACACTCACAGTGAGTGGCTCTCTCTACTTCATCTGACATAATCAAGACAGTCCCACATAGCCATGCCCATGGGCCAACTTGATCCAGACAGCCCTGCATTGCGAGTCCTTTCTAGGTCTAGTGATTCTAGGTCTGTCACATTGACAAATTTAAACTAACCATCACTTGAAACTGGAAAATGTGACTCCAAGTTCAGACACCACATTCTAGACCCCTCTGATTTCACAGGTGTCATCTATTACCAACGCGGGTCCTCAAGTCACCCTGAATTTTCACTAGCTAAGGAGAAAGCGCAGTGGTCCCAGAAGGGGGGGGAATTTTAGTGGGGTGCAATTCAGCCCTAGGTTGCTTTCCATTGGTATAATAAGCACCGTGGCCAAAAGAAACTTGGGGGAGGAAAGGGTTTATTTGGCGTCCATAGATCACAGTCTATCATTGAGGAAACCTGAAGGCAGGAACTGAAGCAGAGACCATGGGTGAATACCGTTTGCTTTCTTACATGATTCATGGCCACATGCATAGGGGTGACACCACCTAGAACTCAGGGCTTACTCAAACCCATCATTCATCAAGGAACTGTCCCACAGGCTTGCCTACAGGTCAACCTGATAGAGACATTTTTTTTTTTGCAATTGAGGTTCCCTCTTTCCAGATGACTCTAGCTTGTGTCAGGTTGACAAGAAACTTCCCATTAAGAAGGCCCTGAGCAGCCTGAGTTATGCTTTCTTTATGGGCTGCCTGCTCCCATAGGAGGCCACAAACCCATCACCTTGCAGCCTTTCTGGTTTCGCCAAATGTGTCTATTTACCTTGGGTTTCCAACAGGTGGCCTGGCCCCGCCCATGTCACACTTTTCTCCTCACGCCTTGCTGTTAACTTCGTGAATATCTGTTTTTCAAAACCAAAATGGAAGTGATTTGAGTGAACTTTACATGGAAACTGAGGGTGGAAAAGGAGATAACTGTGGCCTGCACCTTAAGAGTAAACATAAAGCTCTCACTGGAAGTATGTAGTCATGGATAAACAGCATAAAGCTCTCACTGGAAGTATGTAGTCATGGATGGACACAAAGATCTAGCGCTAGAAATGTGAGGTTTGCAAAAACATTTTTCCATCAGCACAAATGTCCAACAGCAGTGAAATAGTCAAATCAGTGATGGTCTGTAATCCTGGTGGGAGCCATGCCCCCCTTTTAAGTTCTGGAAAGGAGATTATTTATAGGCTTAGAAAGGACCCATGACATGGGGAAGAGACACAGGTGGCCTACTCTCCAATATATTCAGATGATTATAAAGTATGTATAAATTTGGAAAAATATTGGGAGGATGAACATCAAAATGGTACCAGATAGTTTTAAGTAATAAGATAATATATTTTCTAAACTGAAACTTTTGAGTATCTGTACATACATATCACTTTATAATGCTGTTAATTCCTATGTAACTGATACATGACCTAAGGGAAAAAACTCATTCTTGATAAAGGAAACACATACCATAAGTTTCCTCCTCCATAGTCTGTGGTAATAATAGTCCCCATCATCATCCCCGTTCCCTGTGGAGCAGATCTCAGAATCCTCCACCTGATCAGTATGTGTTGATCCACAGAGGGGGAATATAAATGGCTTCTTTGTCTTATTTCTGTTTCATAGGAAATAGAAATATATAGCTGTAGAGATGCCCCAGATGAAAAACATTAATCCATCTTTCAAATTGAAACATGTGGATGTTTCTGGGAAACTATGATAGCTTGAAAACTACTACGACCATAGATATAATGATGCCCATTATTTCTTGTGTCATTGGAAGTGGAGGGACGTGTATTATCATGTCCCCCGCCCTCCATGGTCAAGCAACAGGAAAGATAGATGGACATGAAATACCAGTAAGTTGGAGATTCTCTTTTGGAGAGTGGTAGGACTATTACACAGATAGTTATGCAACAAGATGACATTTCCTGAGCACCCAGGCCATACCAAGACAGGTGACCACAGCTCTGTCCTTGAGACTTTCCCCACATCAGGGCTCAAAAGAAAGTGGATGTTTACCCTCATCTGTAGCATTACTATAGAGGTCTCTGCATCTCTAAACCATGTGAAGGACTCTACACATGGTCCTGAAACACCAGGGCTAGGGAAATGGCTTGGTCAGCAAAACACTTGCCTCACAAGAATGAGGACCTGTATTCAGATCCCCTGAGCCCACATAAAAAGCGAGGTGCCGTGGTGCATGCCAATAACCCTGACAATGGTGACTCTGGAGATAGAGACAGGTGGATCCCTGGAAACACCAGGCTAGCACCTAGCTCAGCGGTTCTCAATCCATGGATCATGACCGCTGTGGGGGTTAAACAACCCTTTCATAGGGGTCACCTGTTAGATACCCTGCAAAACAGATATTTACATTATGATTCATAACAGTAGCAAAATTATAGTTGTAAAGTAGCAACAAAAAATAATTTTATGGTTGGGGGGTCACCACAACATGAGGAACTGTATGAAAAGGCCATAGCGTTAGGAAGTCGAGGACCACTGACTATGTGGAAGAGTTCCAAGCCAATGAGAGACCCCCATCTCAAACAAAATTTGGAAGGTGCCTGAGGACCAGCACCCAAGGATAGGTAGATCGATGGGCATACCAACAAGCTAGAAGGCCTCCTTTGGAAAATGGTAGAACCATTCCATGATAGTTATGCAAGGAGCTGACATTTTTTTAGCACCTCTGGTATTCTGAGCTCCCAGGCCATAGCAAGACACACATAGATGCAAAAACAGTATCCTTCATAATAATCTTGATAACTCCAAAACTTAAAAGAATAAGACATTTCTGAAAATTATATAATTGAACATAAAACTAAAAACTGAGGTGTCATAAGGTGATGCACTTAAGATAATCCCTGACTGCTCTGAAGCTGACTCAGAATCTTGTCTGTCTGCCTCAGGAAAAGCAGGTACTATCGGGAACAGGGATTTTTCCATTTCTGTGACTGTAAGCCAGAACAAGAGATAACTTTATCGTTATGACCCATTACACACATGCATATGCATAGATACAGCTGAAACAAAAAATTCATGGAAAAAATACCTTTAATATGTATAACACGTTCAGATATTTTCTATTCTACTCCATGCTTTCTGAAAAATTGGTCATGACCCAGCATATTGATGCTATGGCCCATTATGGGTCACAAATCAGTTTGGAAAACCCCGCGCTAAGAGGATATGACACTGTCTCATCTTTTAATTAAAAGGGGCTTAGCAGGAAAGTCTTGGCATCTGGCCTAATTCCATCTCCTCCAGAACCCAGTAAGATTAACGGCCATTATTGTTAATGCAAGGCCAATGAATAAATCAGATCCCATGACACTGCCAACCCTCATGGTGCCCCAGGTGGGTAATGGGAATACAATGGGGACATTGAAGTTGAGTGTGACAAGATGTGAGGTAGAGCCTGCACTGGGACAACAGTGACATGGGAAAGGGTCACCTAACTTTTGCCTTGGGATTTGAGCATGATGTCCTGAGCAGATAAGAAGTAAGGGTTATAAAGATGCACAGGAAGAGGAAAGGGTGCTGTAGACAAAGGGACATACAGGGACAAAGCTTACAGGCTGCCAAGAACACGGTGAGGGAAGTGGGGTGAGGGAGGGGCAACATCCCATGGGGCTGGTGAGGGTGGTGAGCTGGGAACTTGGTGGAAAAGGCCTCCTGTCTCTTGGGTAGCTTTGACCTTTATCTTTAAGACAAATAGAAGTTGCTGATAGATAGGCTTTACCAAGACAGAGAAAAGAGCCTCTATGTATCTCAGAAAGGGATGCTGTCTACAGACCAAATAAGGTATAGTCAACTAGAGTTGAGAGAAGAAGAGTTTTGTATTGAGATAGTGGAGTTAAAAATTAATGAGGAAGGACCTTCATAGCTTGGTCTCTGAATTGAAGTTCAATTGGCTCTCCACCTCTGCAATTTTCAAATAGACAATTTCAGCACATTAAAAGAAAAACAGAGTGTCCATACTGAGCATGCCCACACTGGCTTTTCATGTCGCTACTTCTTAAACAATAGTATAAGCTGCTTAATATGGTATTTACATTGTGTTGTGTATCTCAGACAATCAAGTAATGGTCCAAAGCATGCAGGAAGATGGGTTGGCGATACAGGTGTTGACATAGGCAGATGACCCAAGGGGCTGGTGAGGAGAGGCGTGGACCATGGCTGGGCTGTCCTAGGATGAAAACACCTAGGACCTATATCTGCATCATATGTTCTCTATCTCGTCATATTTTGAGCACATGGCTTGGTGTGGACTACTTTGTTTAAATTTTATTAGTTTTCATTTAAGTAGCAACATGTGGCCAGTGGCTGTCATGCTCAACAGGGATGTATAAGGACAAGACATTGATCTATCAGGGCAGAAGGAAGTAGCATGTAAGACCACATTGGGCCATGAGCAGGGTAGAGAAAAATGGCAGGATCCAGACGTGAAGATAACATTGGTTTACTGTGTTACTTTAGATACTAATGGAGAAGAGCTGACAGGCAGAGCAGGAACCTCTGCTCTGTGGGCTGAGAACCTCCCTAGTAGCCCTAGGGCAGAAACAAGATTGTAGTTGGTAGTATCAATGGTAGATGAGGTACAAGG